GGTTAAAACTTTTATTCAGGATCCACCGTTACGCGTATACGCGTGTGCAAGCTTGGGTATTAAATCGATCTCGGATCGTTCGATTTTTTCCCCACCCGTTCGAAATTGCTTACTCACAGCAACGATACGCTCCTTCCTACGGTCTATCAATTTTTTTATTGATACACGCGCCTCCGTGGTGCGCACGTCAAGCAGAAGTGGTGCGTCGTTATTTCCCGCAAGGGCCGTAAAACGCGCGTTTCTGCGATACTCAAGGATAAATTCAACATTCTCTCATAAAAGAGTAACTCGCGACGTGCTGCATGCATCGTGCATTTTGACGTGAACCACACAACGATCCCCCCGGCTTCCGTGGGCGAGACTGTAAGCGGAACTGTAAACAGTGTCAGAATCAGGCGGCGGCTGCGCCTTCGCGTTAAATGGACGGTGTAAAATGTGAGGCGCAACTTCTAGCACGCGGCGAACGGTCACTCGCTCTCGCGGATCCGAATGCGCTCGTAGTCGCTCGCTCGTTCGCGCGCGCGCGTGCGGCCATCACGGATAATGGATCGCTCGACTTTACTTCCTACCTACAGCACGCATTTACCTCGCCCGCATGTGGGATCCCGGCGGCTTGCGCGCAGTCGTTTTTTATCGATGCGTTTTATCGAAGTACCGTGTCGGCCAGGAGAGCGGTATCGAACCGACCGCAAGTGCGAGAGCGCGGTGGATTTTAGACGTCGTGCGACGACGACGACTACGACTACGAGAAGGAAGAGATGGACGAGGGGGAGGAGGGCGACGCGTACGAGTTTGCCCGCGAATTTCCGCGGTAATAGAAAGTTTTTGCGGCACCGTTATTCGGCTGCGTGGCCAACGCTTGGTCGTTCCTCTCCCCATTTCACAAGGGCCCCCCCTCCTCCTCCTGCCCCTCCTCATTCAAGAGAATGGGAGAGGAGCCTTCGTGCTCCTAGAGAAGTCGCGCGAAACACGTTTTTGCGGTTTATGAGCGCGCGGGAACACAAAATCGTGCTTTGCGTAATTCCTGGGAGTGGCCGGGTCTCCTTGAAAGGACTATGTAAATGCGAAGGCTGCCTAATACCGAGGCGCGCAGGGACGGACGAGCGGATGTTGCTGTATGAAAATGTAGAGGGAAAAATCGAACGTCGCGCAACGCCGATCGATCTAACGGCCACAATAGCCGGGAAAAGTGTAGGTAGCGTTGAGAGGTCGCGGTTCTCAGCTGCGACGCTATTTCCAGTTCCAATTTTCGTGCTCTGCCGCAGAGCGAGATGTAGCGCGCCTTCGCGTCGTTGGCCTTCGATTTTGTGAAAGGAGGTGATACGTTTCGACTGGAGGTGTTGACGGAAATTCTAACGCGCCCGGTAATCGGAAATCGCAGCGACGGGATTGGTCTGTTCTCGCGCTAGCCTACACGGGATATATCGCGCGCAGCGTAGTTCGCGGGTCTCGGTCAGTCGCGTCTCTCCGGCGCGGCTTTTGCCAGCCGATCGCATCTACGACGTCGAACAAGCTGCATAATGGATCGCCCAACTTTCCTCCTTACACGCGCGCACCTTCCGTCGCGGCGCGACGCGCGAATATCACGTCGGATGGCTTATGAATCAGTTTTATTAATATGTTTTACCACGGCACTTGATCATACGCGGCACGGTTATCGGATCAGCCATTAACGTATGCATTAAGCACGATTCGTATTACATGTTAAGTCGGCGATCCGGTCTCGTTGAACCTTCTCGCACACCTGCGGTCTCGCCGTTATATACGCAATTTATTTGCATTTAAAGAAAATCGACTCGCAGTTTTCAAGTGTCGCTCTGAAAGATGTGCGAGTGCGGTTTAAGAAGGAAGCTTAGGAATGTCGCGCTAGGAGTACCGTGTATCAGGTTCGCACTGAGAGAAGAATTTAGTAAATATTATCAAAATTTTGTTACTATTACTAAGTGGTAGACGTAAATATAGCGGGCCAAAATTATGGCAATACTTATTAATTAATTTAGTTCTGTAAAATAAATTATTTATTTGACAGAAGTAAAATTTATTTGCTTCCAGAATGTATTTGGTAAATAAAACTTCTTGAATAGTTGAGCAAAATAAGTGATTTTGTAGTAGTTACAAAATTTTTGGTAGGTTCAACCAACCATCTGTAATAATAGATATTGAAACGATGTAATAGCTGCAAATGAATGAATTTTTCGTTATGCTGCAACAAAACATACTTATACTTTTAACAAAATAGAACTCATACCTACTGAATTTTTTATTATATGGGATATAACAATTTTATAACAATTATCAAATATCTGCTCATAATTGTAATATATTTCATATTAAATATTTAACATTAAGTAACTATTACTAAATTATTTAATTGATGTTACTGTGAATGCAATTACGTCATACTCTCGATCTATTAAATATTTGGTAATTATTATTATATTTAGTATTAGTTACTAAGGATTCAATGAATTTCTGTAACTAAATGCAGTTTGTTATAGTTACCAGTCTTTTCTCTCAGTGCGGTGTTTTGCATTAACCGAGCTAACTAACTGTTAAATCATATGTCTGTTTTTCTTTCAATAGACAAGGACAGACACATGTTTTAACTGTTATGACCGTCTTTGGACCATTCCACAGTGGACCAGCAGACCTCGAAAAGTAGCCAAAAGTTAATTCCGGAGATGAGATCAGACAAAAATGTTTTATCGTCATCTAAATAAATTAAGCTAGCTATTTTTCAAGTTTCATTGAATTTAATCGACTGGTTTTTATTTGGTAACAAGTTAATGATGAATTTTTATAGATAAATATACTGTTTAATAAGAGGGTTTTTTGGAAGATACTTAATATTGATAGTCCTTCATTATATATATAAGATATTTAGAATTAAATCAAAGTGCGCGCGCGCGGGTTGCGTGAAATGTCCCATGTAAAATATATTGAATTTCAAATGACCGTCATAAAAGAACTTTGGGTGATGAAGAAATTCCGAATTCACATTTTCGGATTCTACGTATAAAAATACATCAGAAGCACACCAGAAATTCCATGTGACAAATTACCTATTAGTCAATGTTATATTAATGTTTTCTGTCTCTCTTCTCTCGTCGTAATTTTAATCGATGTTAAAATATGCGCATGATCGTGATCATTGAACAGTTGACTTGGAAGAGACTAATTTATGACTGATATATTTTTTATCATTCGCACGAAGTAATATCTGACATACGAAAGCTTAAAAGAGATTGCTCTACAGCGGAAGTATTTTCAGATACGAACACGAAAAGTGCTGCACCATTGAGGAGCACCCGTGTTGCTGGTCATATTTTTTATCGACAAACCAAGCGTAACGCGACGTATCTCGCGAAATCCGTCTCCATTCGCAAACGTGCTCTTCACGCAACTTCTGAAATGAGCTCGCGTCCGTCGAAATAGCAAATGCGCATAATGGATTGCTCAATTTCGTCGCTATATGTGCTTCGTTCCTTTTGTTTTTTTTTTTACTCTCGTTACCAATAGTTCTTATCTACTTTGTCCAAGTTCCCATTCGTCGGACCGATACGAGATACCGCGAAAAAAAATATGAATCCTCTTCTCTCGTCGGTGGCTTTGGCTTTGATGCAAGTTTTGAAGTGGTCTCGCGGTTTCCAGCCGTGCATCCACCGAATTCATAATGGTAATGGATTACCGATGCTTTTTTGCTCTTTATCTATCCCTGCTTCGCTTTAGTCCGTGCAAGGACTGCGGTAAAGTCCACCACGCCCCTTCTTGTTCCGCCATTCGGGGAAAATGTAAGGACGACGCCTAAAGGATCCTGTGTGTTAGAAATAAATATTTAAAAACACGAACTACTTTTCAAACTCTTTATTTACGATAATAAGATTGTGATTACAATCGTTTCACATGCAGGCTTTATAGAATTGTTATTAATATTTTTCTATTATTATTCCTGACTTCCTTCTTTTCGTTCTTTCGTTAATTATCGGAACTTTTCGCACGTGAATTCCTCGTATTCGTTAATAATTCTGCGCTTAAACGCGCACGAATCCTACAAAGAATCGATAGCTTCCTTTTCGATTAATCAGTAGTCCGTTGCAGCGCAGCTTCCTGCTTTTAATTAAAGAAGCATTTGCGCGGACGCGCGAGATAGGTGAAATTTATTGCGGCGTGTCTTGTAATAAATTTCACCTACCTCGGCACTCGACATTTACTCGTTCTTGTCGCGGCGGCCGAGAAGCAATGTAATTGTTACACATGTACACATTTTTACGGCCCATTATGTATTATTCCTGCACAACGTCCTGCTATATCTCCCACTTTAGAGCTACGCGCCCGGCTTTATTGATCTTCACCCTTACTTTCCGAGACTTAAGGAAAATGAGGAAAGTAGAATGCAATTAAAACTTGTTGCCAGGAAGTAAGATTATCTGGCGACGGTCAAAGAACCGGCGTCCTAGCGTCGTTTAATCGAAAAACTGACTTTTTGTAATTCAATTGTGCCTTCAAACGTTTGAGCTGTGCATCTTATTTCTCGATGAAGTTTCTTCAAATTTGGCATATGAGGTATTTCGAAGTCGTTGATTACGAATTCAAGATCAAAAAGTTAAAATTCGAAGTGGCAGATCTATAATATACCAATTATAAGTTTTAAAAATTAACAATCTCACTTTTAGCATTATTCGGAATTAACGATATGTTCTCGATATGAAAAAACAAATATTTGCATTTTTGACAAAAAAACTTGTAGCAAACATATTTTTAGAGTTTTAATAATTTATTATAAAAAATAATGCTTACAGAAAATTTTGAAAATATGCAAAATACTGTTAATTGTCCTTAATAAACTGTTAATGCTTTGTATCAATTCCTATTAGATAGTCCTAAAATAATGGTTGTCTTTTTTGAAGTGTATTTTTACTTTTTTTTTTATTTGGTTATGATAATTTAGCAATTAAACATCCAAGCTATTTTTATTTATTTTTAGTTTTTTATGTTTAAAGAGAGGGAAACGCTAGCGTCCTACTGTGGTTCAAAGGGTGAATGTATCGCAAGTATGTATGCACCTTTTCTCGTAAAGATTTCTAAAATTGCTTGTACTAGAAAACCTATAAAAAGAGTCTGGACATAAGGAGATCTAGGCAAAATTATGCAAGATATATATATATATATATATATATATATATATATATATATATATATATATACATTCTCTTTCTCTTTTTCTTTAACCTAGTCTTTACTCACCCAATCCATACTGTTAGTTTGAATACGGAGTACTAAGAAAACATTCAAAGAATTATAAAAATGGGTGGATGTACGATATTATTTTTCAATAATTTAGTTGCTAAAGAATATAGAATGAAAGTCATACCCAAAACTCTTGCACCTCGGGCTTTATGGATACAAAATATACGAATTATAAGATATATTATATATAATTATAAGTATAAGAATTGGGAGCCAATAAAAAATGTATTTTATGAAATATTTCTTTTTATTTTCATACATTTCATTATATTACTTTTTATGGATAATAAAAGAAACATTAAATATATGTAATTTCTTAGTATGTATTCTTTTATATATAGATTTACATAAAAGTATATAAAAATAAATAAATAACAATATGCAGTTCTTTTCAAACTTTGATTTATTATTTGTGTTACTAAAATAACATATTCATATTCATGATCAGATTTATGTCCAGACTCTCATTATAGGGTCTCTAGCTTATAAGTCAACTGATATCTCGCCCACTTTGGAGGAATGAGAAGAGACAGTATGAGAATATCGCGAGATCTTTGGAATTTAATTTCGTGAAAAACGGATATGGTCGCGGACAGTTCACAATGTCGACACACGGCTGATATATACAGCGTACGTTATTATTACCATGATATTTTTAAGCGAGTCACATCCTCGATAAGCCGCGCGAAAGGCAAAGGGCTATTTAGCTCGCCGATCGTCTTGCCTTCGATCGATCTTCCTTCAGCGTGGATTCCCGTAGAAAATTGGAGCCGCCCTCTCACTCTTCCTCCATCCTTCTCTCCCTCGGCCGTAAGAGCGACTTCAAAGCGGATCAAAAAATTAGAAAAGCAATGTTCTCGGATACGAAGAGGGGCAAGAGGAAATCGAGGTCGTCGAGGGTCTCGAGGGGTTCGCGTATAGGGCCGTATCTACGACTTCTCGCCCCGTTACATGGGCCGGGTGTTTCCTTTTTATTCTTTAACCCTTTTAGCAGTCAATCTTGGCACCCTCTCGTTCTTTCGACCTCCCGATTTAGCGATCGGGAGGTATTCGAGGAGTCGGGTTTACAGCGATATCCACTCGCATTGATCCCCAGTTGATCCCCAATGCCGGGCATTGTTGCGCAGGGGCCTCTCTGGCGAATAGTAGTCGCGGATACGTCTCTTTGGCGAAGAACGAACGAAGAAGTGCGCGAGTGCGCACGTGAAAACGGTTATACCCTCTGCCGTCGAGCTGGGACTCGTTTCTTTGAAGCGGGGGATCGAAATGTTTTAGTATTCCGTAGCCGTGTCGAAGATTTACGAGGTAAGAAGAACATGCGGGTCAAGGGGACCACGCATATTAACCGGCGAACTATAAATTCGTGGGTCCCGCGCGCGTATCCCTCGTGTGCCTACCTGCGGAGAGACTGCTTTTGGCTGAAACACGGCGGCAGAGGGGATGGGAGGGAAGGAAGGGGCCCGTGTCAGTCGAACCGTATTTTTAGCGCCCGCTACTATCATCCACCGGCCGAATTCCCGTCGGATTTATGCGCGAACGTAAGCGCAGCCGCAACATTTTTCCGATACATGCGCACCCCGAGCGGGTGTAAGCTTCTTCTCATTTCACCTTTCCAAATTCAGGGGCTCTCTATAGAGTCGTGATTTAGATAGCTGAGTCTGCAAATCAAATACTAAGTCTTGAGTAAGCACGTTTAATGACAAATAACATGTTTTCGTGCAGAAACTCTAGCTAGAGACAGTGTTTAGTACTCTTCGCTGTGAGCAAGTCCCTTAGATCAAACATCGCTAAACCGTTATACAATAACGATTCACAACTGTCGCCTCGACTTAACTGCCGTAATATTTCACATAGACCCTACTTTATCTCAAGAATGTTCAGGTACAACTATCTTCCTGTAACGCTCAGGTGCAACTCTCTCGTCCTCGCTCTTGCATCGCGTGGGATTCCAAGACTTGTTTTTTAACGCTTCTATCGATTCTCTTTTTAGATTTTTTAGAATATTAGGTTAGTCAGAAAGTTTGTTCAGATAAATTTTGCCAATAGATAACGTTGGAAGTTAGTACTAGAAGTATTGTCATTTCTAACCTATAAATGTTGTACAATTCTAAGTCGTGAGTCTTATCCCACTCATCATATTTTCCTAATGTTGCTTTGAGACTTTTGGACTATTATATGTTCTGATTGATCTACGCAATGTGACATTTTTCTTCAGAGAGAACAAATTGTACACGACGATATTCTTTGGTTGTAGACGACAAGAAAAAAAGGTAAGAAACAAGAAACGAAAGGCAGAAGTAATGAAACGAGGCGCAAGGAGCACATTGTAGATTAGGCTTTCCTTGTGAATTTTCGTTGTTTTACCGACAGAGAGGCTTCCAAGGGGCAAGAGAGAAAGAGAGAGGAAGAGAGCGGTGGTATCATCATCCGCGCGAGACCAGCCGATGCTGAAATATTAAGAGCGCGCGTCGGCGCGCGGAATTACGAGCGACGCTCCGGTGTCGTTACATAAGTCGCGCGCTTTATTACGGCCATTGTCAGCGTTTCGTGCGAGCGAGCGAGCGAGCAAGGAAGCGAGCGCGCTGCGCGTGGGAGGCACGTCGCCGCGGTGATGTATTAACGCAATATCGCTAAGATAGTTTCTTTGCAATATCTTAACGCCGTCGCACTCGGGATACATACGTAACTCGAGTGAATCGCGATAAAGATTTTGTCCACCGCCGCGGCGTGACGCGCCCGTATATATCGTTACACGCTCTGGATGCCACGACGGCCGTGTGTACTACATACACACATACACACACGCGCACGCACGCACGCACGCACGCACGCACGCACGCACGCACGCAGGCAGGCACATACGCGCACGTTGCAGCGCGGTAAAGTTTTGTCGTCGGCCGAAACGATATACGACTCGACGAAACTGTTTCCTCAAATTCCGCGCGACGCGGTATCTCACGTTATGGGCGTGCGTGGTGTGAGAGAAATAAATTAGTAATATAATTATATAGCCAGGAGAGACACGTAAAAGTAGGTGTTTGATTTTACAGATCTCAGCGTAGATATAGATCTCTGCGTTGTATATTTATATACGGAATTTTATACGCATTCCTGGGGACATAAGCGCGAGTTGCGTAAATCGTTACGCGTGGAATAATTTTGCATAATTTTCGAAAAATAGTCGAGAGGCCGTGACTCGTCGTCTGAAATTTCAGCCTCATCTCATATTCCTACCTTCTCCTCCACTAAATTCGCACATTCTCGCGACAATGTCGACTACGCGCTACGTAAGCCCGTAATTAAATTATCCCGTCACGAACGGTCCTCTTCCAGCCCCCCCCCCCCCC